TAGGGAAGTTGAATTCAAGCTTCATTCCTTCTAGCTCAAAAATCGTTTAAAGCTTGTTTTAAACAGAAATTTTTGTCACGTGAGCTAAGGATTTCCTATATTTTGCCTCTTTTTGTAGGTCACAATTCAGCTAACGCGTGTTTTGAATGTAACGCTCTCTTTTGTGCGTTGCACTTTTCTAGTGCGCATGCGTCAGTTCTGTTGAAATGCGCATGAGCCCATGAAAAATATAAAACTTACGTAAGTGAAAATAAGAGATTTTGCAAAAATCCATTAGTTAAAAACGCTAACGTAGTGGAATATCATTTAAACTTTGACCACAAATTCAAAAGAAATATTTACAATGGATGTATAGTTTGTATAAGGTAAGAACTCCCCCACCATAAAGTCTGAGGCGTTCTGCTGCTAATGGAAACAAGAATAGCTCATTTCAGGGAGGGTAGCTCCTCTTCCCTCTAGCGATAACACATTAGACCGAAAAAAAAAGATTATCGCTTTCTCTCACCGATTTAAGCCATAACCTGTCCTAAACAATGTCCACACACCACTACTTGACATAGTTATACCTCGTCACCATAGTCACCGCCACAAGTTCAGACGAATGGCTAAGGGAGTTCTTACTTTAGACAAACTATACACTATTTGTTCCGTATTTGTAAGTTACGCTCTTGGCGTTCGAGCATCTCCCCTTGGCACACTGTAAATACGCCAACTTGGCAAGCTGTCTATGTTTGTACGCCATTACAGTCTACGCTCTACACCCGAAAGGGAAACGCAAATAAACTCCTATTTTACAAAACGCTTTCTCTCATTTTACGCTACCTCCGCACAAGGATATTGGATGAACGAGGAAACGTTGTTTACAAGAACTTTGATCACTTATAAAAAATGTTCATAGATTTTTAAATTGGTCAAAGACTATTTTGTGGCAAAAGAAATTCTCCTTACAAATGTAAGTAAGTGCTTGTGCGACAGATGGTGCTCCTACCATGTCTGGTCGTCATACTGGGCTTCTAGCGCACCTTAAAAAAGAAGTACTGATGGTCATCACCATTCATTGTGTCATTCATTGTCAACATTTTCCTGCAAAAAATTTGAGTGGTGCCCTGCATGACAATTTACAATTCGTTATTTCTGGCATCAATGAAATCAAAGCTGATTCTCTCAATGACTGTTTGTTCCGAGAACTTTGCCGTGAAAATGATGAAGATTTCGAACGCTTGCTCCTACATACAGATGTGAGATGGCTTTCAAAAGGAAACTGTTTGCGTTGTTTTTTCGAATCGTTTGACTCGGTTACTGAGTTTCTCGACACCACTGATCCTGTTTTAAGTGAGAGTTTGAAGCAATTCAAGTTTGAAACTTCGTACCTCACGGATATTTTTGAAAAAATGTACGAAATCAACGTAAAACTTCAAGGAAATAAAGTGAACATTATCAGGACTAAGGAAATCATGTGTTCATTCATCGCCAAGTTTGATATCTACAAGTCAAACATTGGTCGCAAAGAGCTAATGCAATTTCCAACTCCTAGAAAGTGTTTAATGGCAGATATCGAGATTCTCGAAAATAAAATCATAATTTTTACTGATCACCTTGACCTGTTAAAAACTGATATGGAATCAAGATTTAAAGATTTGATGAAATTAGAAATTCCGGATTGGATTTTCGATCTTTTCTCTTTTGAAGTTGTGGATAAGTTCACTTCCTCTTTGCAGACTGAGTTTTTAGATTTGAAGTATGCTAAAGTCGACTTTAAAAAATACGGTTACGAGTTAGCTTGAGTAAAGTTTAGGGACACTTATCCTCAATTGTGAAAACAAGCTGAGCCGCTCCTCATCTCGTTACCGTCAACATATATAGTGGAGAGAGGATTTAGTTCTGTCGTCCAGCTCCTCACAAAGCAAAGAAATAGGTGGGACATTTGCTTCAAAGGAGACCTGCGACCTGCGCTTAAATCTGACAAACATAAAACTTGACATTCAAGCTTTAACTGAAATACACCAAGTGCAGGGCAGTCATTGAAGTGGTAAAAATGTACTTTCTCACTCTTCATTTTTTTCTCAAATTTTAGTTGCTAACGTTTTAACTTTTCCATGATTATATTAAAATATGAATTTTAAAAAATGTACTTTTGTTTTGATTATTCCATTTTAAATATAATTTCCTTCTGAAAAAAAAAGATGCGCAATTTTTTTTAATTAATAAAAATGGCAGGATAAAATTGCCTCCTTATTTGCATTACAATTTAAATTAAAATCAAATATAACTTAGCGTTTGGTTGCTCACAAGCAGCATTGAATGGTTTTTGAGCAAAAAGAAAAAGGGGCGATGTGTGTCAGCCAACCCCAAGAGGGGGGCTATGGTCCGGAAAAGGTTAGGAACCACTGTGATAGATAGACTATAATATCATTTGCAGTGTTAAGTTGAACCACATTATCGTTCTTCTGAAATTTGATTAAACTGTTTTGTGTCTCAACTTAATCTTAAACATGGTTTGATTTAAGACCTTAATAATTTTGCAGCGAATTTGCACCTCGTTATGGTTCAACTGAACTGATTTTTCTGCGAGTGCAACGGGTCTCATTTTCGATTCTACTTACAAAAATATCTTACATCACACAAAATAAATGTTTTCGAGCATTTAAATGATTAAGCTACCGAAACAAAATCTGAAAAAATAAGAGGCAAAAGTGCAAAGAAAAAAAAATCCATTTAGAACAAACGACTTTACATAATCCCCTGTACTGAACTTTAACTGGATAAAAAGGACATTAACCTAGTCTTAGTTCGACGCATGGAACAAAAAATTCTAATAACCTGTCAAGCTTCATCATGAACTCGGAGCATGTATTCCAGAACTTAACATATTTTTCGAAAGCACTTAAAGTCTCGCATTATTATCATATTTTATTGTCAGAAAACGTTATAATAATTTTCCCTCAACATTTCATTCTATACATAGTTTAAGTTATACGAACTACTTTATTTAGTATATTGTGTCTAAGTGTTTTTGCATGTTAGTGTTTGAACAATGTATAATAAAGTATATTGTTCAAACACTAACTTGCAAAATATAATAAAAAACTTAATTTTATGAAGCATGAGACACAATTTTTTTCTACACTGCTTCACTACCCTAATCACAATTGCGACACAAATTGTTGTTTCAAAAACTGCGGTCTCCGAATTTTTTACTACCTCTTAAATACTAAATTAAAAACTACCTCTCCGAATTTGGTGTTGAAGATTTTTAAAAATTGTGTGAATGAACAATAATTTATTTCAAATTATAACACCAAATCGAGCGTTCACATGCACCTTTAAGGATGTATTTAAATCTAAATACTAATAATAAAGAATGCTTACGCCAAGCTCACGCGCATTCACTGTGACGATAGGCGTCATATTATACTATTCATTAATTGTTTTTGTGATCGAAAACGCCAAATTTGGCTACGTTTTTATGATTTATTTGTCGAGCACGAGACGTAAGTTTGTTAATGTCTGGTACACTGCTAAACATTCCACCCAAACAGTAGTTCACTGTTACGAAAGGCGTGTATGTTTTTATTTGCGTAATAAAGATCGTTATTTTTCTCAGATAGTTATGTTCTTATTTGGGTAATAAAGATAATTATTTACATAAATCTATTATATAATTTTATATTGATTAATTTCTGTTCTATTAAGCCTAATTCGAAATCGTTTAATATCCTCTCTGTGATGTACGTAGGATTGGTAAACAAATTAATTTTATTTCAAGAATTGTTGAAGGAATGCATTCCAAATTAATAGTTCTTGATTTGAACCAAAAAAATAACTTTGCTGACTCTTGTGTGAATTATATCTTATTCGCCGTTAAAAAGTTTGGTGGTAATAAACACCAAAAGTAGATAACAGTTATTTTACACCAAAAGAAATGCTTTGGACATTTGTGCTATTTACTACACCAAGAATTATCCTATCTGTTTCATTACACTATTTTTTTTATGTAAAATAGTTGCCACCTTTTTTAGTGTTAATGTACTCAATGCTTTACTGTGCAAATAATAAATTATTCTGACTTAGTTTAACATTAAATTTTAATGATATACAGAATATTCTATAACGACTGCCCTTAATGTATATTTTTAGACTTCTCGTTAACAATGAAATAAAAAATATGCATGTTAGGGGTTGCAGATTAATATTTAAGAAAGAAAAGAAGAAAAATGCTAAAGAAATCTTACAAATTACTACTGAACAGAGAGAGACCGAAAACATTAAAACCTATTTGATTGCTAGAGAAAGCAAAGAGTAGTAAGACGGTTATTAGAACTGACAAGTTCATACTGGATTCGATCTTTTTCATACCGGCATTATTGACAGATTTCGATAGTGTTTTTTTTTGTTTGTTTTTTTACTTGCTTAAATACTTCTTAAATATATTAAGGGAAGCCATTCGTTTCCGCTTAATGTATATTAAGTTAGTCATTAAGGAAATTAGCATTCACTTATATTTACTACTATTATTATACACTATCTACCAATAAGTATTTGGACTCGTGTGATTGAAAAGAAAAACAAACTTTATTCATAATCAATAGTTGGCAGAGCCTTCACGAGAGGCAATTACAGCGTGAGCCCTTCGGGGGCATACCCTCCATTAGTTCTTGTGTGACGGCTAAGGGTATTTTCTTCCACTCAGCTTTTAGAAGACATGTAAGTTCCTTCACCGATTTTGGACGGGTAGTACACCCCTTAATTCGGCGATCTAACTCGTCCCAGAGGTTCTCGATAGTGTTCAGGTCTGGGCACTGGGCAGGCCAGTCCATTCGATTAACCCCAGTGGCCCCATACCAACCCTTGGTGACCCTCGAAACATGACAGCTGGCATTGTCGTCCTGGAAGTAACAGGGATCCATCCCGTAAAACTGCCACAACTTAGGAAGCACATTGTCATCCAAAATAGTGCAGTAGGCATCTTGCATGGGACTAATGCCAATGTTGTTCCCTACACGATATATACCGGAGGAGGGCGTGACGTATCTCAGGACCTCAGATATAGTCATTTGCATAGGTGTCCAAATTATTATNTTACTACTGAACAGAGAGAGACCGAAAACATTAAAACCTATTTGATTGCTAGAGAAAGCAAAGAATAGTAAGACGGTTATTAAAACTGACAAGTTCATACTGGATTAGATCTTCTTCATACCGGCATTATTGACAGATTTCGATAGTGTTTTTTTTCTTTTTTTTACTTGCTTAAATACTTTTTAAATATATTAAGGGGAGCCATTCGTTTCCGCTTAATGTATATTAGATTAGTCATTAAGGAAATTAGCATTCACACATATCTACTACTATTATCATACACTATCTACCAATAAGTATTTGGACACGTGTGATTTAAAAGAAGAACAAACTTTATTCATAATCAATAGTTGGCAGAGTCTTCACGAGAGGCAATTACAGCATAAACCCTTCGGGGGCATACTTTCCATTAGTTCTTGTGTGACGGCTAGTGATATTTTCTTCCACTCATCTTGGAGAAGACATGTAAGTTCCTTCACCGATTTTGGACGGGTAGTACACTCCTTAATTCGGCGATCCAACTCGTCCCAGAGGTTCTCGATAGGGTTCAGGTCTGGGCCCTGGGCAGGCCAGTCCATTCGATTAACCCCATTAGTACCATACCAACCCTTGGTGACCCTCGAAACATGACAGCTGGCATTGTCGTCCTGGAAGTAACAGGGATTCATCCCGTAAAACTGCCACAAGTTAGGAAGCACATTGTCATCCAAAATAGTGCAGTAGGCATCTTGCATGGGACTAATGCCAATGTTGTTCCCTACACGATATATACCGGAGGAGGGCGTGACGTATCTCAGGACCTCAGATATAGTCATTTGCATAGGTGTCCAAATACTTATTGGTCGATAGTGTAATATATATCAATTATTTAAGTACCAGAATAGGAATTTTGGGGTGTTTTAACTTAAAACGGCTCATTGAAGATACCTTTTTAGTAACACAACAAATTTAATAAAACAAAAATAAACACATAAAGTAAAAATCACGAACATAACATCTCTATAAGAGTTTAACATATGCACACTTCTACCAATCTAAAAAGAAAGTTAACAGTTCTTGTTCGTTTTTTTGCTGTCGGGGAAGAAGTCTAATTGTTCTACTTGTCATAAGTTTGATTTTTTCCTTTTTATAGCTCCGAATCTCACTACCAGATAAATTAAACCTTCTTCTTATTTAAAAAAAAAAATTATAATAATTTTAAAATGAGCTTGTTGTTCTAATTTTTGATCAATAAGTTATGCTTCCGATTTAAAATATAAAATGTTGAGACGAAATAAAACATTCAAAATTATTCTAAAGTAATAGTTCGTAAACTAAATCGTAAAGTAAAATTTAAAAATAAAAAAAACTCTTTTAACTTTTTGTTGTTGTTGTTTCTAATGCCACTTGCCACACGGGCAAGACTGCTTGGTGAAACCGAGCAAATCTAAGGCAGAGTGTGCGTTTCTTGTTTTTCAGTAGCGCCATCTATGGCCAAGAATTCGACTTCTGCCACACCCGTTTATAGGGCGGACCCATTCATACTTCCATCCACAGATCATAATTTTGACCTGAATCAGAGAACGATCGATCTCCAATCCAGTACCCCCAGAGGTTTTGATTTGTCATGGGAACATGGAGGACTTTTGCGACTCGACTGATTTAACGTGCATCAGACACTTTACTAGTCACGTTTTAGTCTTCGGCCAGCGGGGTTCGAACCCAC